TAAATTCAAATTCTTTTTTTTAAATACTAACTCATTTTTTCATATACTTTAATTGCATTAAAATTCCTTTTTTTCATGCATTAAAAATATTATTTCCCCCATATTACATAATATATTCGAAAACATCTAACCGACAAATTACTAACAATTTTTACTAACCTAATTTCAAACTTATATATATTTTCAAAAAGTATTATGGAGATATTTCTTATCAGCAGCGAACTTCGTCTAATAACCCCGCAATTTACAAACCCAGACTTGGTTAAAGGAGAATTCGAGATATTTCTATAATCCATAAAAATACTAACGAAATAACTATGAACCACGAATTGGGACTTTGATTCCTCATAAGAGGATACATAGGCATACGACTTAAAATCGTGGTGAGTTCCCCTATAAAAATTAAAACCCTATTCCTAAACCGTAAACCTAACCCTAGTATCCTTGTGAACAAGGTAGATGAGGGGTGCCTAACACCTTCCCTTCGTCTAAAATGAGTCAACAACTTAGAATCTCTGATCAAATTAGAGTTATCTGTTATATTCCCTTCCTTAAGATAAAAATTAATGGTGGCGGCTATATATTTCAAACCAGTTATTACAATTTCATGACATTTTCACCCATGTTTTGAACAATTTTATGTTTGGTTATGTTGTATGAACAAGTTATGCCTTTTGCTTTAATTATGTTTAGTTGGATAATTTGGTTTTAAATTGTCTTCTATTTATGTTTGATCAGTTAATTTTGCATCATTTTGTATATATGGGTATATGTGAGTGCACGTCCTTATTTTGCAAAAACGCATATGTATGATAAATTAGTATTTGCGTTGAATTACAATACTTCTCATGATCTTCTTTGTATCATTTTGATGTTTTAAAAGGGGGAGAATCATATGCGAGATGAATTTGGGAAGCACGCATTCAAGGGAAGCATCAAATAAAAAACACGAAATGCATCGTTGTAATTCGCCATCATAAAAAAGGGGGAGTATGTAATTGCAACTTGCCTTTAGATGTTTTGCATGATGTCAAAACTAAGAGAACTTTGCATTTATGCATATTGGACGGTATCTCCGAGTCATTTTGGTGCACCCTTGCATTAGAGGTCTTAGGAAACATCTGAAACAAGATTGGAATTGGTATCAAACATGCAAAATCATTTTCTGCATAAAAGACACTTGCATGTGTCGGCACATCCGCTTTTCAGGCCAGCCCATGTACTGTAATATTTAAGCTTGTAGGCTATGTGTTGCATGTGTCAGCGCATAGCCTTGTTCAAGTCGGCACATGATGCAAATTTACACTTATGTGTCGGCATATTACCAATCAGGCCGACACATACAAATTATTTGGGTCAATTTTTTCATACTTTTTAATTCTGAAGTTTCCCTCTTTGCCACCATATTTCCACAACTATAAATACATCATACACGCTTTATTTCAACTTGATGAAACTATAAACACTTACAACCATTACTCTTCATCTTCAACCTCCAACTTATGCATACACACTAACAAATTACACATAATCATTTTTTGTTTGGTGCCATCTAGACGAGGTTTGATAATGTTCAATTGATTTGTGTAATAGAGAATATTGGGTTGAGAGTTGTGGGGGGGTTTCATCCAAAAAAACATAGGGTTTGTCCTGCAAGATCTTTGGTAAATTTGGGGGTTTTGTTCAAGAATTTTCAATAGTGGATTCAGCCGAGTGAAAGCTTTTAAGATTGGGTATTTTTGCAAAGGAGTGGCACAATACGGTGGATCGTATTGGAAGCTCTTGTGGTCAATAGTTCACAATTGAATTCGATCGAGTGAAACCTTTGGAGATTGGGTATCTCGCAAAGGAGTAGTCTGAAATGGTAAATCAATTAGACCTATTGTATCTTGGTATTGCTCAAGATTAAAATAAGAGAAGGGGTTGAATCAACAACAAATGATTAGGGTTTGTAGCGTTGCTCTTAGAACACTTCTCTTGTAATTAACTTTTTGCAAAATAAGATTGGTATCTCAATTTCAATTGAAATTGGGGCAGACATAGCCATA